AATAAATTTCAGAATTAATCTAATGATATTTATTTGATATTATAAATATTTATACTTTTTTATTTATAATTGGTCAAACTTGATACACTAAAATATGATACTGTTATATAATTGCATTCTTCTGGGAATGGAGGAAGTACTATCAAGAGATTTGGCCTGCATGCTCGCAATGATTTGTGCATGCATAAGATCGATGACGTGCTCCAGTCTAAGAACACGAGTCAATTAGTCTGTGATGCCGTGAGGCCTAATTGTCTTAAAAGGCATCAAGTGTTAAAATTTACTGGATAAATCTTGGATCAACAAGACAACAACTCATCAAAATTGCTTATATTGACTCACTCCCATTTGAATGGATAAACTTTGGATCAACAACTAACAAAATTGCTTATATTGGCTCACTCACGTTTGCTCATATTTTAAAACAATACTTACGTAGATGCTTTCCTATCTTTATCTTGTTTATATATCTTGTTGTGATAGATTTTAGTTCACTACTACACAAAATGGTTTTTACAATCTCCTACTATTTCAGGAGGTTGACTTAGTCAACCATCTCAGCAAACGTTTGATGCATTATAACTTACAGACTGCCTTAGGAATCGATTTTTATGAGCGGTTGGCCTAATAAAACAACCCCTAAAAATCTACTTATTTTCAAGAATAGTTGATATAAAACAACCACCCTTAAAACATAGTTTTAGAGATGTTTTCTTATGTCAACCACTCTTAAAAATCAATTTTCAGGGGTGGTTGACTAAGCTTGTGTTTAGTTGAGCTTTGAAAAATGTTTCTATTGCTAAAAAGCAAAATGTCAACCAAACGGGTAGAACTAGAAGCTACTTTTCCAGAAACTGCTTTCGTGCAGTAAAATTTTTCATAGAACCATGAGCCCTGCTTTTGGCTTTCGGTTTTCATTTTTTTTCCAAATAGGTGGAAATAGAGAGACGGTTTACAGTTGCTTCAAGGGAGATAAAGAGATTAGGGTAGGTTTTATAGTTATTTTTAACCAAATAACCTATATTTTTTCACAACACATAACTTAAATCCGTTTTCCCATAGCTTGTAGCTCAAGACAACTTTTTTCACAGTCCATGGCTGAATCAAACATACACTAAGTCAGCCTTCGAAAATAGCTACTTAACAAATAAATTTCATAACATTTTCAAATGAAAGTTGGATAAAGACAATTTATATCAAAACTAAAGAACTCAATGATATCTAAAACTTTGTAGTCGACGAGTTTTTTTTTATTTAAGATCTTTTTTGGTCCCAAATATACACTCTAAATTCTCACTTTTTAAAGTTCATTCAGATTCTCAAAAATTTTAACAACCTTGAATGGAGAAACACCCTATATTAGTGTTATAGTGATCGTCCAGATATAGAACTTCATATTTGAAGCTTTTAATTTAAAACTTTTTAGGAGCCAAAATATTTAATACACAATTCGTAGATGTTAATACAAAAGGATAGAATCCTATACTTGATCATAAATGATTGTGTGGTTGGGTGGTAGGAGAGATAAACGGGAGGCTTAATAAATTAATTAGGCATAGTAAATTCATCTTGTGAATTAATCACGCCTTAAATAATTAGTTTTATAATTATCTTATGTTTAGTCTTTCTAATTGATATCAAACGTTCGACGTGATAGGGATCGTGGATCCAAAACACCTCACGTACGATCAACGGATCAACACGTGAAGGACTAGCTATAGCTAGTGATAGACTCAAAGACGAGACCGATCAAACAAGCAATTTATTGCCTAGTGGTACTGCACAGTAGTAGCTCATTCGTTCAATCTGTTGCATTCCAACACGAAAGCGACAGCAGCAGCAACCAGCACATACGCGTGACATGGGGTGGCCAGCGCCGCACATAGTATCTCGTCGCCGATACAACCCTCACTTTTGCTCATCGTGTGAGAGGTGGCAAGTTTTTAGTAGCCAAAATCCCAATTTGCCAAATTTTTGGTTTTAGCATATTTTGAAAGAAAATTAAATAGGCTCTAAATTAACATTCGTATAACTTGACTCCCATTATTGACAAATTGGCGCCATCACGAAAGGACTTGAATCCCTACAAACCCTCGTTAGTGTATAACTTGGCTCTCATCGCCCTTCGGTATATAAGGTTGACAATGGGCTCCTCTAGAAGGGATCCGGCAATCAGCCTTTGGACAGAACCGATCAAATCCTAGACTAGTAGCATAGCGCTCTCCTGCCACAAACTCTCTCTCTCTCTCTCTCTCTCTCTCTCTCTCTCTCTCGATTGAGCATTCTAATACGAAGAACATCACTGTTGGACGTAGGACTTAGACGCTTGAACCAGGATAAATCCCTTGTGTTTTGAGTGTTTAAGTTTCGAAGACTCACACAAACCCATGTCGAATCGATTTGATTACTGCTACAGAACCCAGGGCAATAGCCAACCTGTTGTTCAGGCCAATGCAAAGGAGTCTCCAACTTATAGACAACAAAGCGCGATGGAGGCTGCATCGCCTTTGCAGAACGACACGTGTCCTCCCATACATCACTCAATGTTGATGGTTGGAATAGGAAGGCGCAAGCGTATGTCTTATGGCATATCTTCGCTTTATCGCAGTGTCCGTCTTGCCCAACGCAAAGTGCTAAAAGATTTGGACCTTGTTGGGAGTGACTATAAGCTAAAGGAGGGAACAATTCAAGACTATGCAAACTGGAACTATTGCCACTTGGCCTTCTCAAATCACTCATGTGTTTGAAAGGTCGTGTCTTTTGGGATATTTGTTAGAGGAACTTCTTTCTCTCTTTGTTAAGCTCTGTTTTTATTACTGATGTTGGTGTTGCTCCACACTAATTGTTGCCATGCTTTTTTATTGTTTCTAGCACTTTAGTTTAGTTGTCTTGTCGGTTATTTTGTTGTGGTTGGTCATGTATTGCCCAGTCTAGGTCTAACTTCTTTACCAATATAATATACAGATCTCTTGTTTGTTCATTAAAAAAAAAAGTTTAAAGTGGAGGTTGAACACCTGAAACAAAGTATACAATTAAAGATTTGGCTTAAGAACATTCAAAATGTAGGTGTTGGATAGTTTATGGTTTACTACCTCCATTCCAAATTATAAGTCATTCTTGCTTTTCTATTATATAATTATTATGTATTTAGACATAGGTTATATCTAGATGTATATTAAGAGCAATGTAACTAGAAAAGTCATAATGATTTATAATTTGGTCCGGCGGGAACACTAAAAAAATCAGCAAACTTACTTCCATTCTTCAACCTAAGAAATCATCCTTAGTAAGAATAACCCCCTCATTAATTTAACCTAATGTTTAGTAGCTCTTTATGAGTAAGAAGACATTGATCTGAAAGACACCACCACTATTCGTTCGTGGCCAAGCCAAATTTAGAGAATTAGAATGTATTTGCCTTATTGCCAAGCATCAACTGCTCGACCAGATACTGTGCATTTTTTTTTTTTTTTTTTTTGCGATCAAGGATATTCATTCATCATGGGGGAGCAAAGTTACAATCTGAGGACAGCAGGTTCGAAACGCTAGTTGGGGCATAGGACCACCACCCAACTCGCGTATTACCTGTGACCTTTTTGGCTAAAGCATGAGCTAGCTTATTACAAGATCGACAAACGAAAGAAAATTTAAAATCTTGGAAAAGAGTGCTCAGCTCCCTACTCTCCTTGATGATCGAGACCACACCGGATCTTTGATTCACACCAGCTTGCCATAGCTTCACTACTTCCTGACAGTCGGTCTCAAGCCAAACCTTCTGAATCCCAGCCTGAAGCGCCAATGCTAGGCCGTCCCGGCAGGCTAATGCCTCCATGCTTTAGAGCATCCAGGCAGTGGTTGTACCACTGTGTGCCGCCTCTAATAAAAGCACCAGTGACATTACGCAGCACAACACCTGTTGCTCCTTGCCATTGCTGTTCATAGAAGGCTCCATCGGTGTTACATTTAACCCATCCCGACGGCAGCTTCTCCCATCTCTGTTCAGCAATTCCAACTTCCTTCTGTGTCTCCTGACCGAGATCAAATGCCAAGTCAATCGCCCACTGAACCGCACGCCCATTTTAATAATCGTTGCTGCGCCCTAGGTTTCAGGATGTAAAGGCGGGAGTTTGATACCTATAGCAACAGTCTGACTCCAGAAAGCTTTAGCAATCGTGCAATCAACCAGCACATGCCTGATGGATTCCGAATCCTATCCACAAACTTCGCAATGCGCTGTTGGCTCAATATGTTTGCAGTGTAAAATTTGATAAGGAAGGAATTCATGGAGAACACGCCACCAAAAGACTTTGATTTTCGGTGGTACCGTCAGCTTCCAAACCTTCTTCCAGACATTACTTCCTGAGGTGCTTGCATCCTGTACATTTGTCTCCTTGACGCGCGCCATATCAAGTAATCTCTAGGCGGACCGGACAGAGTAAACTCGGTGTTTCTCCGGTTCCCATGCCCACATATCTTCATACTGAACTCGAGCCGGCGTACGTAAAATGGCTGCAGCGTCCACAGGAACGAAAGATTGTCTGATAACATCCTCATTCCACTGTCCATTTTCCGACAACAGCTAAGAGACCCGCTAAAGATCGGCTAACCCTATTCGCCTGAACTTATCAGCCTGGCTTATCAGCCAGTGCTTTTCTCTCCCAACAAATCAGCGAACAATACTTTTCAGCCTGCCTTTTCAGCAAAGCAAACAGGACCGAGTCGTCTTCGGTTCCTTTCTAAAAGACCGAAACTGAAAGGTAAACTAATATTGCTCGTAAATTTCGCTACAGACAACTAGGAGCAGACAGGCTGTGTGTGCTTTCCTTGTTTCATGCAGGGCCATTCCTTTGCACCCAATGCCGGTGTTGTTTCCTAACTAAGGCACGCCCCTCCCCAAACCGCACGCCCATCTTCCTCACGCATGCCATCGCCGGCGCCGCGGCATTCCCTTCACCTGCCCCACCCGACCGCCACGCTGCCACGGCAGCGCCGACCGCCTCATGACACAGCCTGCTCGGCGACCCACGAGCTCCATAGAGACCGTCGAGATCGCGTTCCTCGGCGCCACCTCCATCCCCGACCCGCAGTCGTCGCCGGCAACCCCGCTGCCGGAGATCCCTTTCCAGCACGCGTCGACGCCGCCCCCGCCTCCTCCGCCGGCGCCGGTGCCGCAGAAGCAGAAGCACGGCAGCGGCAAGCAGCGGTCGCGGCCGGGGCGCCTCATGCGGTCGGTGCGCGCGGCGTTCCGGTCGTTCCCGGCCATCCAGGCGCCGTCCTGCCGCGGCATGCCGTCGCTGCACCACCTCCCGGGCCTGCACGGCGCCGGCGGCGTCCGGAGCCACTTCCACGGCGCGACGCACGCCACGGGGACGCTGTACGGGCACCGCCGGGCGCGCATCACCATCGCGCTGCACGAGAGCCCTGGCAGCCCGCCGTGCGTGCTGCTGGACATCGGCGTGCCCACGGCCAAGTTCATCCAGGACGTGAGCGCGGCGGGGATGGTGCGCGTCACGCTCGAGTGCGAAAAGCAGCAGCATCACGCGGCGGTGGAGGCGGGGTCGTCGGTGCGGCTACTGGACGAGCCGGTCTGGATGGCCGAGGTGAACGGCGAGAGCGTCGGGTACGCGTCGCGGCGGGAGGCGGCGGAGCGGGACGAGTGCGTGATGCGGCTGCTCCACTCCACGTCCATGGGCGCCGGCGTGTTGCCGGCCGATATGTCCCACCCGTACGACGGCGAGCTCACCTACATGCGCGCGCATTTCGATCGCCTCGTTGGTTCCAAGGACTCCGAGACGTACTACATGCACAACCCCGAGGGCGGCGCCACCGGGCCGGAGCTCACAATCTTCTTCATTAGGACTTAGAATCAAATTAAACCAGCATTATGTGCCAATATATATGTGTGAAACGGAATATTGGCAGGAACGTGTCTGTATATATCACTTGTTACCATTGGATTAGCCCAGGTTTCTTTATATAATAAAGACAAGGAGTTATGGCCGAAAAAAACGTTCAACGAGACGAAGATGTGTGAAATGGACAGATTTCATTGGTGCCGAATTTGAATTTCCACGGCTATTTGGGTACTTTTCAAAGAGGCCAATGGCGAAACAATAAATAAACGGAGGCACTAGCACCCGGACGTCCGACGACAGCATCGTGTCTACACGCCAACCGAACCGTAGCGGCCCAGGCTCCACCAACTAGAGCATCCCATCTAAGCATCCCCACATAATAGAAAAAGTGAAACGAAGCGCTACCGGCCCGCGTAACGGAAGTGGAGAGCATGCGCTCTGTCCGCGCTGCCATCCCCCGGTGCAGCCCTTCCGCTGCCCCCCGGCATGCCCCCTCTCCAATCTGAGAAGGATGCAAGGCAGCAGAAGGCGAGGAGGAGACACCAAGGCGAGGCAGCAGAAGGCGAGGAGAGAGATGCAATACCCGATCTACTTTTAAAACATCAAAATACAACACTTGCAACATACGTCTGAAGATAGATGAAACGTTTGAAATATGCGTCTGCAAACACTTAAAAAACACATGAAAACATTCGGAAAACCATTGCAACACATACGCAACGTCCAGATAAAACACTTACAACATATGTGTGAAATATATACAACATCTAGATAAACACACTTGTAACATGCTTACGTCTGGAAAAACAGATGAAACATTGGAAGATACGTTTGCAACATATGCAATATATCTACTTTTGCAACATCTAAACGAAACCATTGTAACATATCTCTGAAACGACTGAAACACTTGAAACATAAGCTTACAACATGCGCTTTTAGTGCAATGTCACCTTGCTGCTCGACGAATGGAGCTCGTCGTTGTGGAGCTCAACGTCGACTCGGAGCTCGATGCCACAGAGTATGCGGGGGTCGTCGGTGTGGAGTTCGTCGGCGACACTGACCTCGGCAATGTCCGCGGCAAGCGGATGGAGCGCGGCCGCGACGGTAGGTGTGAGTCCGAGGTGGGGAGGCATACGGCGCAGGCGTGGGCAGCGCCGGCAGAGTTCGTCCCGTGAGCCGCGAGCGCACCGGCGAGCGGCACAGGTGGAGTCCTTTCGCTAGAGGGGGTGACGCGGGCGAGCGGAGTCTGCCCCGCGCGAACGGGGGCGCGCAGCAGAGCGAGAGAGCGCGTGAGCGGGGTACGCGGATGAGTAAACGAGGATGAGTAGCGTCTGGATGAGAGTCGGGGACGGACGCCCGTAACATATCACTGTTCATAAATAAACCGTGTAAATAAGGTGCGGGGCTGAATTGAAAACAATACCTTATTACTTGTACAACTAAAAAAAAACCTCGATGGTAAAAGGTAGGTAGTGCTCAGTTGGGCCCAATTCGTGTCACAAACATACTCATAGGCCGTCACAGGCTCGCAACAAGGCCTTGCCCAGTTCCCGCCACCACGACCGTCGACAGCCCGAGTGCCCAACTGATAAAGAGACTCGATCTTGCGCCTCTGTTCTTGTCGACTTCTCCCGGCTTTCCCAGGCTCCAATCCTATTCCTATCGTTGATCTCCAAACCCTAGGGCAGCTGCAGGTCGCAGTCATGCGCCGGCGATCGAAAGGCAGGCGCGACGCCGCGAGCCTTTACGACGTGTGCCCAGCGCAAAGGCGCACTAGCCGAGCAAGCAGTATCCCCACGGACCACGGTGCCTCGACGATCGGTATCTCCTATCCACAGTTCCTGGTTTTCTTCCACACGAACGCTACTCTCCAAAAGTACGTATTAATCTACATCGTTTCCACATTTGAAATTTTACCTTCTCTTCACAGTTAGTTTCTTCTGATTAGCATGGACATCTTTGATTTTGTGTGAATCGTTTATGTAATTGCAGGGCGTATAATATCTATATTTTTCGTCTTTTTGGATTTGTTTTTTCCTGAAAGAAATAATTTTGGATTTGTTTTCCTTTCTTGCTTGGGAATACCCGATGTTCGTACTTTGGATTTGTACCGGTACTCGTCCTGGCGACCGTGTCACAAGGTCATGGACTTGTGGCTGGTCTCGCCGAGGAACGAAGCCTGGCCATGAGCTAAGGCCCAAAAAATTTGTTTTAGTAGTGGGACTCCACCTTAGCAGCCGAAAACATGTTTGTGTGTGATTTCTAGCATGTTCTACTGAGAGTAGTAGTACATGATGCATTATTATTAAATATTATTATAGTTATATTTGGCTTATTGCCCATCCGTGCATTGCAACGGATCAGAACATACATCTCATTGGTCATCTAGACTTGTGTCTAGAAGGTTTATGTAATGACAGTATCATATGTTCTAGTATGTATTGAATCGGATCAGACTCAGTACCGTCTTCCAATTTAAATAAAATTATATGATTTTTGAACTTGCAACAAACATACTCAGCAACCCGATTTCTTTCCATCCGGAACCACCCTGAAGCACATTTTCTTTTTTATTATCCATCCGGCTGAATCACATCTATTCTTTTCCATGTGAAGTACAAACGTAGCAATCTACTGAGTTTGGTTTCCCCAAAGGTGCCGACCGGGATGGCATATTTTTAGACGTAGATGTTTACCCTCGAGATTGATGCAAGGTGAAGGTGGGGTAAGTATATGGTATGTATTCCATTCGGTCCTGTATACTTTCTACGCCAGCCCTCATTATTATTCTTCATTTCTCTCTCATCAATCTCCCTCGCTACATCTCCCGCAAGATGGTCCCAGTCTGGTGCCGATGCCGATGAGCGCTCGACGTCCACCACGGCTGACAGCTGCCGGTAGAGGAGGCCGAATCTAGCGAATTTCCGGCGAGGAGCCACTCGACGGCCGTCACGGAGGAGATTCACCGGCGTCGCGGAGGGGAACCAGTTCCGGCAAGATACAGTATGTTTAGAACCCGTAGGTTGATGGTACTTATCTGAACTTTTGTTACATACTCCCTCCCTCCCAGGGGCGGATTTGGGCCTAGGGCCATTAGGGCCACGGCCCTAGGCGTGGGCCAAATCTCCTTTATAGCCTCTTAATTTTCCCATGGCCCAGGTTTGCTATTCCCATGAAATGCCCTAGTCTTGGCCCATCAACACATCAACGAAGGCCTGTGTTTGAAGCTCAGCAGCTGCCTGCCGGCCTGCTTGCGGCTTGCGGCTTGCGGCCCACTGGCACAACCAGGAAGGAATCGCATAGTGGCCCAATGGCCCTAGGCGTGCAAATTGGCCAGCTCCGCCACTGCTCCCTCCGTTCCAAAGGGTCGCCTTCGTATCTTCAAATAAGTTTATTACAAGAATAAATTCAACAATTTATCCAATGATACTAATTATGAGATATAAATATTAATATTTTTTTATATCTAGTTAAAAGTTAAAAGTGTTTGACTCATCAGAAAGCGAGAATGACACTTAATTTAGGATGGATGGAGTAGATGTCACCCTTTCATGGTGGCTTCTTCTCTACCCCTCTATAATACACCACAATTTCTTTTACTACATCCACCCCCTCGGTCATGCCTAATCTAAATCCACCCAAATTTGTGTATCAAAATATTCCAACTTCATACAAATGAATGACCTGTATCTCTCTCCCAAGCCTTCTTCTCTTACTAGTAGTGTGTCCGTGCTAACGTTATGGTAAAATACAAAAGAAAATAACATTTGTAAAAAATAAAATCAATAATCAAACTTACTAAGATTCACATCTTACATATTGTATAACTAAATATTTTTTGTCGCATCATAAATGTTACATAGCGACTGATCCTTTGATGAGGCGACAACATTATTTGGACTCACCCACCGACGACTTTCTCTATCCCCACATTGTTTAAACTTGAGGCTACAAAGAAAACAAAAATCTTTGTCATTTGAAACACAGTAAAGAAATAGGTGTTTGTGTACTATTTACTTATCACATCACCATGCTGATCTATTAACCGATTATTTGACAAAAAAGTGACTATATTGTTTAGAAATCTTCCTATGAATTACCTAGGTCACATGGTCAATAGAGTAATTCCAGAGCAATACTCCATATAGTTGAATCATCCATAAACCACAACCTACCCTGTGCAAAAGTGAAAAACTAATGTAAGTGATATCGATACCGTTGCAAGTCTGGCAATGGCACACACAACAAGTCTGATGATCTTTTATCCATCTGTTTCCATTCTCTCAGTGATCTTATTTATAATTGGCCAAGATGTCACTTTAATAATATCCATTCATTTATCTAGGTACAGTTGTGTATGCTCTCCTGCAAGTTTTATTACTCTTTTCGGTTCTTTTAACTATTGTGACTGAAACACCCAGATTTAGATAGGAATATTAAAATTAAAATACAATATGAAATTGCATATTAATCATTAAGCCCTATCGTAGTTTTGAGATCTCGATGGTCAGATAATTCTTCTCCGAAAGAATCCAAGACATGTATCTCACATTTTGTAGCATTCACAACTTCTAGGCACCAGTGAAACTTCCCAATATTAATTAAAAGGAACACCTGCACTAATAGAGTTTTATCTCAATTTTTTCTATCTTTAAATTAACAAAATTAACATATGTTTGATATTATATATAATAATGATAATTATGGCAGCGATAAGCTTATCATATCATCGTGTAACTACGTTTCGACCCTTGTATCAACTACATCATCTTTATAGTCCAATGCTGTGGCAAAACCGCTCGAAATAGTGCGCTTCCGGAAGCGCTCGTCCTCCACCAGACACTAAGCACCTCGAAAGCTGGCTACATCGGACGGTTCCGTCGAGCACACCCCAAGGGAGAACTCAAACAATCCACGTTTTTTCTCCAGGATACAATAATGAGAATGAGTTTACAATACTTAGTCCATTTTATACAACAAGAGTTCTTAAAAATACATTATTACAA